CCCATGGTGACCCCCCAGATGCATCCCCACCACCCCTGCAGTGACCCCCCATGGCCCCCGTGTCTCCCACTATGCCGCCTGCATCCCCAGAGTGTCCCCAGCGCATCTTCCAAAGTGTTCCCTGCACCCTTAGGCCCCACATCCTCCACACCTCCACTGTGACACCGTGTCCCCAGGGGATTATCTCTCAACCCGTGTCCGTGTGTCCCCAGGACATCACCCCACTGCAGATGGTGCTGGCTGACACCGCCCTGCGCCTGCGGGCCCTGCTTGACTTCAAGGATGAAAATGGGAAGAAGTTCTTGGCAGGAGATGAGTGGCTCTTCGAGGGTCCCAGTGAGCACGGGGTGGCACTCCCTTTTGGGTACAACGTGGGGGACCTGTGGGCTGATGGTGCCACCTGCCCACAGGCACCTACATCCCCCGCAAGGAGGTGGAGGTGGCTGAGACGCTGCAGGCCACCGTCATTGGGCACAACCAGGCCATCCGCCTGCGAGCACGCAAGGAGTGCATCGACCGCTATGGCACCCGCCGCGTCACAGGTAGCACCCGGGGACAGCCTGGTGGCCTCCTGGGTTCAGCCCTTGCTCAGCAGCCTTCGTGTCAGCTGGCATATCACCCTGTACCATCAGTGCTACCCCTGGGAACCCATGGGACCCCTCTGTTACCTGAAGGCACCCCTGGAACACCCCACCCCATACCCCTGGGACCTTTTTCTCACCCTCTAGCACCTCTGGAACCCCTCCAGCACCCATGGGATTTCTGTGTCATCTGACATAACCCCTGGGGCCTCCAGTACCCCATCCCATCCCCTGGGACTCCTAGGACCCTCAGCACCCTCTTCCAACCCCCCAGCATTCCTGGGATCCCTGTTCAATCCCTCAGTGCCCCTGGGATCCCAAACGCTCCTATCCCACCCCTGATAACCACCTTCCCACCCCACAGCATCCCTGGGATCCACAGTGCTCCCATCCCACCCACCCCGCATCACCCCTCCCACCTCACAGCACCCCCAGGACCCCTGTCTGATCCCCCTCTGCTCCTCTGGGATCCCCAACACTCTCATCCCACCCCCCATAAGCCCTTGTCCCACCCCACAGCACCCCCAGGATGCCTGTCTGATCCCCCCAGAACCCCTGAGAACCCCAACTTGCCCGCCCTACCCCCCATAAACCCCATCCTACCCTGCAGCACCCTTGGGACCCCATCTTATCCCCCAGCACCCATAGGACTCTCAGAACCACCAGTACCTCCAGGGCCCAGCACCCTTAGGACCCCCCAACACCCTCAGGGCTGTCATCCCACCTGTAGGACCCCTTGCCCCCAGCACCCCTAGGACACTTGAGATCCATAGGATCCTCAGCACCCCTAGTACGTCTGTGGCACCCCATGCTGCCTGTTCCCCAGCACCCTCACAACCCACATCCCACCCCAGCACCCCTGGGACTCCTGGTCCCCTCCCTCCCCAAGCACCCCAGCATCCTCGGCTCTCCCAGCACCTGTCACCCTGCTCCAAGCTGAGGAATGGCTGGTGAAGCAGGTGGGTGCCTACCTGCCCGGTGTCTACGAGGAGGTGATGGACGTTGTGGATGCCTACATCCTCACTGACAAGGTACTGGGCATCCTAACTCTTGCCTCCTTGGTGCCCATGGCTGATGAGGCCCCTCTGGGCTGGCTTTGGGGGTCCTGTGTCCCTATCTCCCTGCACCCATGGCTGACAGGAACCCTTCAGGAAGGGTGAAGGGTCCCATCACCCCCTGATCCACCATGACCCTGACACCTTGTGCCCATGGGTGACAGGGACCCTCCAGGGGGACCTGGGGATCTTTCCAAGCCGCTGTGTTCCAGTGGCCCCTGCTGCCATGAGTGATGAGGACTCTCCAGGAGGTCCCATCCCCTTCACCTGTGGTGTCCCTGTTCCCCCTGCCTCAGTTGATGATGAAAACGCTCCTGTCCCCCTGCCTCCCACCATGACCTCTTTCCTGCTGCACCCATGGGTGATGAAGACCCCCTGGGATAGGTTTGGGGGTCCTGTGCCCCCTGCACCCATGGGGGATAAGGAGGCCCAGGCTGAGCATGTCAATTCTCTTGCACTCATGGGTGACAAGGACCTTGCAGGGAGTTGTGCTCCCTCCACCCACCCCCTCCTTGTTCCCCTGCATGAGGTCATGAGGTCCCTCAGATGTAGATTTGGGGGTCCCATCATCTATGGGTCTCCCTGCACCGATGGGTGACAAGGCCTGTTGGGGCCAGCCTTGGGTGTCCCATCACCCACCATGTCCCCGTGTGTCCCCTCACTGCAGAAAGCCCTGCACCTGCGGGCAACGCGGACCTTTGAGGACGAAGAGGGCCGGGTGCGGCGCACAGGCGAGGAGTGGCTGGTGACCCAGGCAGAGAGCGAGGCCTACATCCCGGAGGTGTTTGAGGAGGTGGTGGCAGAGGTGGCTGTGACGACGCTGGGTCCCCGGCAGTACTGTGTGGTGCTCGATCCCGTGGGACCCAATGGGCAGCCCCAGCTGGGCCAGCAGCTTGTTGTCAAGGTGGGACCCTGAAGGTGGCCCCGGGGGACCTGCAGGTGGCGCCAAGGGACCTAATGTAGGCTTAGCTTGCCCATAGGTATCAAAGATGATCCCGAGGGACCTTAAGATAATGTGATATACCACTGTTGTGTCACTGGGGGACCCTAAGATGCCCTGAGATACCAAAGTGTGGCTCCCAGGACCTGAGGTTGGCCCCAAGGGATGCCCGGGTAGCTCTGAGAGAACCTTGTGTATACATAGGTGTCCTCTAAAGTCTCAAAGATGGCCCCAAGGAACTCCAATGTACCCCTGAGGTGTCCCTAAAAGTCCCTGAGGGATTCTAACATACCTTTGAGGGCCCCAGAAACCACAGGTAGCCCTGATGTACCCAAATACATCTCCAAAGGCTGCAAAGGTGGTCTCAAGGTACCCTAAAACACCTACATTAGCCCTGATGTCTTGCTGCAGGACCCTGAGTTTCCACAGGGACCCATGGGTGGTCACCAGGAACCAGAAGTTGGCCCTGGCATACCCCTGTAGACACCCCTAAAGGTCTTGAAGGTAGCCCACTTGGGCCCTAAGACATCCCTGAGGGACCATAATGCACCTGTGTCCCTGCCCTGTGCCCCACCATGTCCTGATGTCCTTGTCTCCAGTCCCACCATGTGCCCAATGCCTTTACTTCATGTTCCACTGTGTTCCCATGCCCCTGCCCCATGTCCCTCTGGTTTTCCACATCTCTGTCTTGCTGGTAACATTTCCCCATGTCCCCAGGGGGAGAAGTCCTTCTTTCTGCAGCCGGGCGAGCGGCTCCAGGCTGGCATCCAGGATGTCTATGTGCTCTCTGAGGATGAGGGACTTCTGCTCCAGGCGCTCCAGACCATCAAGGACACCAATGAGGTGGCCTAGGGGACACCTGGCATTTCAGATCCCCTGGGGGCAGCTGGGTGAAACTGGGGGGGAAGGCCAGTGAGCCTGGGATGACGGGGGCAACCAGAAGTAGTTGGGGGACAAAAGGGGACAACTTGGGGGGGCGGGCACAAAGGAGTGGTTGGAGGTCATCGGGAACAGCTGGGGCACCTGGGAATAGTTTGGGTACATGAGGGACTCCTGGGGGATTATGGAGGCCGCAGAGGACACCTGGAGGGACTCCTGTCCTCACCCCTGTGTCCCCAAGCCAGGTGGGTAGCAGACGGCCATGGGAGGAGTCCCTTCTACACTGTCCCCCAGCTGAGGGGCTATGGGAGGGTGTCCCTGTCTCCATGTCTTCAAGCCAGCGGTTGGCAGAGGGCCGTGGGAGAACGTCTGTGTTCCCATGTCCTCATCCAGGGGGTGGGGGGATCCCTGCATCCCCAGGCCGGTTGGTGATGCCATCCCCTCATTCTCAGGAGGGGACGGAGGTGACACGGCGGGCAGGCGACCGATGGCTGGCCCGGGGCCCCCTCGAGTACGTACCACCAGCAGAGGTGGCCGTGCTGGAGCGACGCCGGGCCATGGCCCTCGCTGACAACGAGGGCATCTACGTGCGCGACATCCGCACTGGCAAGGTGCCCACCCCAGCACCACAGCTCCCTATAGGTCCCCTGGAGCTCCTTGTAGCCCCCTATAGCTCCCCGTTGGCTTTTATAGCTTCTTACAACACCTTTATAGCCTCCTCGGTGGCTCCCCATAGCCCTGTTACTGCTCCCTGTAACTCCCCCACAGTTCCCTATAGGTCACCGTGGACTTCCAGAGCTCCCTAGCCCCCCCCAAATCCCTACAGCTCACCCACAGTCCCCCATAGATCCCTGGAGCTCCCTTGTAACCCTATAGCTCCCCAACCCCATTATAGCCCCTTTTAGCTTCCCATAACCCACGTAGCCCCCCATGGTTCCCCATAATGCTCGTAACTCCCCATAACCCCTATAGCCCACCATAATCGTGCAACCCCCTTTAGCCTCCCATACCCCTTCCCACTGCTCCCAGCTCCCATGCCAGTATTCCACATCCCCCTAGTGCCCCCCATGCCCTCACCCAGTGCTCCCAGTAACCATATACCCCATCCCAGTATCCACCCACTGCCTCCCAGTACTCCCAGTATTCCATGTATCTCATCCCGGTGCCCTCAAACACAGTCCCAGTCTCCCAGCCTCCCTCTCAGTGCCCCTAGATACCCCGCACCTCACCCCAGTGCTCCCAGTACCTCATATACCTGCTCCCTGTGCATCCAAACCCCACCTCAGTTCCCCCAATCCCTCCCAGTGCCCCCAGTACCCCATCACCACATCCCAGTGCTCCCTGTATCCCTTATAACTCTTCCAGTGCCTCCGCACACCCTCCATAACTCCTCCCAGTACTCCCAGTAACCCCCAGCCCCTCACCCAGTATCACCCACACCCCTTTGCAGTAGTCCCAATCCCCATCGAAGTGCTCCTGTTGCCCGCCAAGCCATCCAGACGCCCACTTCCAGCATCCCCAATCCCTCCAGTGGCTGTCCCAGCCTGGCAGCACCCTGAGGTGGCTCTGGCTGCAGGTGCGGGTGGTGACGGGGCAGACCTACATGCTGACAGAGGCCGAGGAGCTGTGGGAGAAGGAGCTGCCCCCCGGGGTGGAGGTGCTGCTGGCGGAAGCCCGTGGAGACACCCGTGGTGTGGACGCTGGGATCCACTCCTCCTCCAGCCCAGACACTGGGATCCCTCAACGTGACCGCACCCGCGCCGTCACCTACCAGGTGCCCCACAATGCTGCTGTGCAGGTCTACGACTACCGGGAGCGGCGGGCACGGTGAGCGCCTGTGGTTCTGGGCATGGGGGAGAAGGGATGTGGCAGGGAATGGAGAACGTAGTGGATGTGTGGGGGCATGGGAGGAGGATACGGGGCTGGAGGGGCTGGAGGGGGGTGCTGGGCACCAGGGTACAGGTGGTGTTACTGTGACCCCTGTGCCGTGGTGTGTTCCTTGGTGTGTCCTTGGCATGTGACCAGTGTCTTTGGCATGTCTGTGGCTGGCTGATGCTGGGCCCAGTGCTGGTGGTGCTGGGCCTCAGGGAGCAGCTGATGGTGTCGGGACTGGTGTGTCCTTGGCATGTGACCCATGTCCTTCACGTATTTTTGGCATGTCACGGAGTGGTGCTGGGTATAGAGTTGGTCATGTAGGGCCCTGGGGAGCAAGTGACAGGGAAGGGACTCTTGTGACACAGTATATCCTTGGCTTCAGTCTGTACAAATCACACTCAGGGATCCTGGGCTCCGGAAACCAGAGGGAAAGTCTGGAGCAAGGAAGATGCACCCTTGGTAGAAAAGGTTCAGGTTAAAGAATACTTAAGCTAACATATAGGTCCATGAGCCCTAATGGGGTGCAGTTACGAGTGCTGAAGGAGCTGGCTGATGTCATTGAGTGGCCACTGTTTATAATCTTTGGTCAGTCATGGAAAGTGGGAGAAGTGTCCAAAGACTGGAAAGGTCACCCTCGTTTCCAGAAAGGCAAGAAGGAGGACCCAGGGAACTACAGGCCTCTCAGCCTCACTTCAATCCCTGGGAAGGTGATGGAGCCACTCATCCTGGAAACCATTTCCAGGTGCATGAAGGACAAGAAAATCATCAGGAGCAGTCAGCATAGCTTCACCAAAGGGAAGTCATGCTTGACCAACCTGATAAACATCTCTGATGAAATGGTTGGGTTTGTAGATGAGGGGAGAGCCATGGCTATTGTCTCCCTGGACTTCAGGAACTCCTTCGACACTGTCTCCCACAAGATCCTCATAGAGAAGCGGATGAAGTTTGGGCTGGATGAGCAGCAAGGTGGACTGAAAACTGGCTGAGTGGCCAGGCCCAGAGCATGGTGATCAGTGGCACGAGCTCTAGTCGGAGGACAGTAACTAGTGGTGTGCCCCAGGGGTGAATGCTGGGTCCAGTGCTGTTTAACATCTTCATTAATGATCTGGGTGATGGAGCAGAGTGTTCCCTCAGCAAGTTTGCAGAGGACACCAAAGTGGGAGGAGTGGCTGAGATGCCAGAGAGTCAGGCTGCCATGCTGAGGGACCTCAACAGGTTGGAGAAATGGGCTGACAGGAACCTCATGAAGATCAACAAGTGGAAGAGCAAAGTCCTGCCCCTGGGGAGGGACAGCCCCAGGCACCAGTATATGTTGGGGGCTGAACAGCTGGAAAGCAGCTCAGCAGAAAAGGACCTGGGGTCCCCATGGACACCAAGCTGACTACGAGCCAGCAGCGTGCCCTTGTGGCAAAGGTGGGGAATGGTGTCCTGGGCCACATTAGGACTGTTGCCAGTAGGTGGGCAGGTGATCCTTCCCCTCTACTCATCACTGGTGAGGTCCCACCTGGAGTGCTGTGTCCAGTTCTGGCCTCCGTAGTACAACAGAGACATGGCCATACTGGAGAGTTCAATGAAAAGCCACAAAGACGATGAAGGGATTGGAGCATCTCTCCTATGGGGAGAGCCTGAGAGAGGTGGAACTGCTCGTCCTGGAGAAGAGAAGGCTCAGGAGGATCTTATCAATGTATATAAATACCTGAAGAGTATTCAGGTGCAGAGAGGATGGAGCCAGGCTCTTCTCACTGGTGCCCAGTGACAGGACCAGAGGCAATGGGCAGAAAGTGAGAGGCAGGAGGTTCCCTCTGAACATCAGGAAACACTTTTTCACTGTGAGGGTGACTGAGCACTGGCACAGGTTGCCCAGGGAAGTGGTGTAGTCTCCATCCTTGAAGATACTTGAAACCAAACTAGACATGGTCATGAGCAACCAGCTGTAGGTGGCCCTGCTTGAACAGGGGGGCTGGACAAGATGATCTTCAGAGGTCCCTCCTCACGTAAACCATACTGTGATCCTGTCATCCTGTGGTTCTGTGATATGTCCTTGGTGTGTCTTTGTCTTGTGACCTTCGTCCGTGACACGTGTCTGGTGGTACATCACATGGTGGTGTGGGCTCCCACATGTCACAGCCTGTCCTTGGTCCAGCAGGGTGGCTCTGGGCTGCACGGAGCAGGTGACAGCGCTGGGTCCAGCACGTGGCAGCTTGTCCCTGGCGTGCTCTGGTCCCCTCCTGTGCAGTGCGGTGCCCCTGGCGTGTCACCCGTGCCGCTGACACACTCTTGTCCTGTCGCAGGGTGGTGCTGGGCCCCGAGCTGGTGGTGCTGGGCCCCGGGGAGCAGCTGACGGTCCTGTCCCTCTCGGCGGGGCGCCCCAAGC